CTCCTTTTGCCCCCCCCCCCCCCCCCCCCCCATATGCATGGGGGGGAAGCCCTTTTTCTTATTTTTGCATACAAGGAAACCTCAGTAAATACAGTGTGTATCATCGGTGATCACACTGCTGCCAAATCAGCATGTGCTCAGTAATGGAAACCAGCTATGAAGCTGATTTAAATGTAGCCAGTACTGAGTATACGTGGCCCATATTGGGCAAACATGTTGACGAGAACCTTTTTTGTGTGGCTCTTAAAAAGGCATGGGCCTGGAGGTACTGCAATACCAGGCCAGTAGGGCTGTACAAAACACCATTGTCTCGTTTTGATGTCCGTTTCACCATTTCAAACGGACGGTGTTTCATTTCATCATTTCATTTCATTTCGAAGCACTGTCCCGTTTTTTGTCAAAATTGTTTTGCCCATAGGCTATAATGGGGAATCATGAAAATGCTTAAAACCTTGTCGTTTGTTGCCTGATTTGGATGCAAATTACAGGGATGGTAGCTGCTTCTGAAGGCATGAAGCCTGCCTAATTTCAAAGAGGTGGGTGCAGAGGTTTCTCGGAAACTGCACCTCAAAGTTTTGAAAGCAAAATTCAAGACACTTGGCGGCAGCAGCAGCCTCCTGTCATCTGGCGCACAGATCCCAGGGCCCGCACCCCCGGGAGGCCTGTGGGGTTGTGCTGGACTCCTCCTGGGGGTGCAGGCCCCTGGATCTTTGCTGGATGACAGGAGGCTGCTGTTGCCACCTGGGACTGGCACTGGGCGCAGCCTGGCAGTAGGAGACAGAGTGTAGCCCTGGCTCTGCTCGCCTCCTGCCGCTGGGCTGAGCTCCATGGTGCTGTGGAGCTGCTTGGAGTGCAGCCTGGCAGCAGGAGGGCAGAGCCAGGACTGTGCTCCTATCAGCTCTGCCAGCCCCATGGAGCACAGCCCAGCAGCAGGAGGTGGGGAGAGCCAGGGCTCCGCTTCCCACCGGGCTGAGCTCCATGGGGCTGTGGAGCCACTTGGAGCGCAGCCCTGGCTTTCCCCTGCCTCCTGCCACCCGGCTGCTGGAAACTGGAAACGTTTCAAGTGCCCTCATTTCATTTCAAAGCTTTTTGTTTCATTTTGATTTCAGTGTTTTGAGCTCGAAACGTTTCAAAAAAGCTTCAAAATGAAACACTCGGTGAAATTTCAAACAGCCCTACAGGCCAAAGCTCAGAAGCCAGAGCAGGCCCTGACACCTTCCCCTGGTGCCAGAAATGATCATGGGAACCTACCACTTCTTTTGGCTTAAGGCCAAGTTAGTTCTGAATTCCAAGTCAGCTGGGCCAAGCTCGGTTGTTCAAATCTGTATGGCTCTACCATCAGTGCCAGCACTGCCTTGGAAATGTAAGGATCCTCTTGTGCTTTGTGGGCCAGATCTGGCTTGCTGGCTGTAGGTTGCTGATCCCTGTCCTAGATAATATCACAAATCAGTATCTGTCAATTTGGCCCCAATACTACATGGGTGATGCACATAATAAAAGTGTGCTTCTAGATGAGCCAAAAAAAGAGAGAGAATGTCTTTATGAGTAGAACCTTTTTTTGTTGTCTGTTTTGCTTGGGCACTAGCAATCTCGGATTAAGAATTATGACTTGGATTTTATTCCTTCTCAGCATTCTGTAAAATAGAAAGCCAGTCTAACCACAGGAGCAGCGAGCTGAATTGCATCCCTCTCAGGAGCAAAAATTAAAATACTAAAACATTATTTTTAAACCAAATCATATCCAGCAATACAAAGTTAGCTAAACAGGCATAAAAGTACCTGTTGATGACCAAAGAGCATTTTCAAAAAAGTGCAAGAAGCAAAGTTTTGAATGTTAAGTTTTTTTGGAGCAACTGGGCACATCTCCACATCTACTATGGTGACATAGCTCATCACTACAGAGACATAGTGTCGGCAGGCACAAACTGTGATGCTGATGTTATGTTGCCATAGCGACATGCTACCTCATTATAGCGCATTGCTACAGTGATGTAGCTGCTAAAAATAAGCATGCACCATTGGGACAGTGCAGGAACAACTGCGCCTTGGGGGCATGTGTAGACGCCCACTGAGTAGTTGGGAGAAATGTTAGACAAGTTCCTTGCACTTTATGTAATATTTCTCCCACCAATGAAGTTGGTCCAATAAAAGCTACTGCTAAGAAACCTTCTTTTTCCACATTTCCTGGGTCATCAAACTACAACACTCCAATGCTACCTTAAAAAACAATAGGGCTTTTTTGTTTTTTGAAATAAAGCCTTTTAATGCCTATTACAAAGATGGTGGCTCTTTTCTTTTACTTTAAATAATCTCCACCTCAAAATCAAGGTATTTTCCCATGTTGTTGGGACTGCAGGTAACTGTTTTGCAGCAGGGTGCTGGTATAACACGAATAATGGATTTTAGTAGATGTTGTAACCAAGGAAGAGAGCTTTCTCCCACTGCTACTTTTCAGGATTACATCTCAGTTGCATTTGACAAAACAGTCTAAACCTAGCCACATTTTTTAATTATATTTTGATTTTTAATAAAAATCTCTCAGTGCAAAACCCCCCCAAAGACTCCTTAATAAAGTTGATCTGCAACAAATTTTTAGAAATGGTATTTCATTCTGTTCCAGTATGGCATTTGGCACACTTCTGAATATAAGGAAAAGAAAACCTTTGAAAGCTGAGAGAGCTACAAAAATGGCCTTGACAGACAACATGGCCTGTCCAGTCATGTAAACAAGTCTACCAAACAGGAGGGTAGTGAACCTCTATTGAGGTGGAAATAATGCCTGTCTTTGAGAGAAACTTTTGTTGTTCACTAGGAAGTGAGTGGACTGTCTTCAGGCTTATGTAACTATAATGCATGGGAGACTAATAGTCGCTCAACAATTGCTCTTTCTATGCAAAAGATTGAAATTTGTGTGCACGATGCATTTTGGTAGAGTTGCCCCTGGATCTTGACAGGTCGTAAATCTATTGGTATCTGTTACTGCTATAGTAAAAAGAGTTAACATAGTATAATGTATCTCTTCTTATCCATGTAGAACAGCAGAACTCTGACAAGCTTTATTAATGTCAGCATTACATCACTGTCTGCTTCCAGGATGGCATGTGAGGTGAATATAGTAAAATGAATTAACAATTGTCCTAAGCTGTTCTCTCATGTATCTACGTGTCTCTTGGTTCACTTTATATACACTTTAAAGTATGTGTTTCTGACAAATAAACTAACGTTGTAGAGTTCCATGCCCCTTTTCCAATGCATGATTTGTAATTGAAGCATTACTTACACAAGAAATTGTATGTACTTGATTAAAATTGGTTTATAAATTTGACTTCGTTTAAAATCAGTGCAGCCTCCTTGTATGAGCACCCAAATTTTTATTTTGAATATCGACAGACTATATTTATATAAATATGTGATTTAAATACTGAGAGGCAAAAGCAGGGTGTTTAGTATTGGTCTCTCCACATCCTTTTCATGTTACACAAACATTTTTCTTTTGGCATGGAAATGAAAAATAGGCAATGATTCGATAGTGCCACTAGCAAAGCATTGTAGGCACATATTACAATGTGCTTTGTGTATCTTCCACAGACTGCAAGTTAGAAGAGATGTTTTAACTGTGTGAATGGATATGGTAGGCATCACATTTATATCACAGGAAAAACTGCTTTAGAACTAGGAAAATAGTTGTGGTTACAGTTGTACCATGAGCAAGGCTTGAACAATAGCATGTTCATTCAGTTATCATGGGTGTGGATCTAAAAGTAAAGTAGGTTCTGTAGTATGCCTGTCAGCTGAGGAGCAGATCCCAGATAGATCACTTAAAATGGCTGCGTATCATTTAATGTAGCCTTTAAATTGTGTGTCTGCTTACTCAGATCAGAATCATGGTCTCAGAGCTGCATCAGTACTATACTATCTATGCAGAAAGGGAAAGGAAGAAAATAAAGCTTCTAAAACAGCTTTTTAGATTGGAATAATTTATACTTGTACTTCAAATACAAGATTGAGGACCATCTAGTCTTCACTTGAAACTGTGCTAACTATAACAGATTTCAAATTTAAAGAAATTGTATGGGACAGAATTCTTGCATTTGTTTTCCTGAACGGATGCAGATTGCCCCATTCTCAATAGTTCTAGAAGTGATAGTTTTATGGAGATGAATACAATACATGAGTGAGCTTTTTCTGATATTGCTTATCTGATAGATGATAGCTAATTAAATGTCCCAGGATTCTGGGTACAACCAGCAATCTTTTTTGGGTTATGGCAGTATTATCCTCATAGTAATAAACTCTGGGATAAAGTGTGTGTGTGTGTGTGTGTGTGCTTTATAATAGTGGTTCCCAACTTTTTTAGGCTGTGGACTGGAAGTGACTGCAGACCAGAAGTGACTGGCATACTGCTGACCAGCAGCCAACCTTTTTTTATACTCGGTATCAAAAAGGGTTGATGCCAGTCCACAGTATGCTGGTCACTTCCAAACTTCCGGTCCAACAACCAACCCTCCAACGGACCGGTAGCCAATCCTTCATGGCCCGGTATGGAGCTGCAGCCTGGGGGTTGGGAACCTCTGCTTTAAAAGGTAATGGAGTCTGGCATCTGAGTGACTTGATATAGTGCTATTAGCCCAAAACCGGTTTACCATTTTTGTCTCCGCATGTTGTTTGTGTTTTCTTTCTGAATTCCAGTCTCTTTTCTATCTGTGTTCTTTTCACCATTGTTTGCCCATCAGCTTGCTAGCCCTTTCCAACTTGCCCTTCTTGCTCTTCCCTCAGTGATCTAATTAATCTCTGTCCTTTTTCTCTGAATGTATTTCTTATAACTCTGGAACTCTGAAGTGTGGATGTGCTGCAGCTCAGTTGGAAAGGATTTGGAACAAGTAGGGTAAACTTCAGTGAGGTCTTGCCTTCCATAAAGCTGCGGAAGAAGGGAAAACGGAGCAAGTGGCTTGCCAGAAAGGAAAGTAGTAACCTTTATTGCCTGGGAGGAAGAATGGCGGGGTAAATGTTGCTACATCTCCATGGTAGCTGTGTTTGAAAAACCTGTTATTTGGTACAAATGTGGGTCATAGTAGAGGCAAATATGTGTCACTCTGGATGAGTGACATGATAGATATGCAGATTGTGAAAACTAAGACTTTTTTTTAGGATACATCCATAGTAGGAATTTTCAACACTTTTCACACAAGTGGTCTAGAACTCATCCAGATTTGCTGTTGGAGGTAAAGGGAAGTTATAGTGTAGACCAGTAGTGTCCACCCTTCCTGGCAGGCATGCTACAATTTAGCCCCTCATCCTCCCTGGGTGCATCTACAAATGTGCTTTACTGTGGAATTGACTAATTAGCTCCACAGTAAAGCATTACCGTCTACCCATGCATCCCTATTAGGGCACAGTTAATTAACTCCACTGTAGGATAGTACTGCCCAGGACAAGTATTGTCCTATGGTGGAGTTAGTGCACTGAAATAAGTGTGTAGATGGTGACCAGGGCTGGCTGGGGCAGTAGGGTGCTACAGTGCGGGGCTAGCCAATAGTCAGCCCTCACACTATAGGACACTTGTGCACCAACCAGCTCCTCCGCAACGCGTTGAGCTGGAGTGGAGCAGGTCTGAACTGGAAGGCTGGGCCCCATGCCAGCTGGGGCTGTTCTGCCTTGGCTGAACATGCTGCGGGTGCAGACACATATGTAAACACTGCTCCTAGGAGCAATAAACTTTGGTGCAAACTGCGCCAGAGTTTATTGCTGTATGCTAACTGTGCATGTAGATACACCTTCTGGCCAGATCTAGATATGCAGGCATGTGCAGTCTGTGGTGCTACAGACCTTTCTGCAGTGCCACAAACTACATGCCCAGCATGTTAAACCATGCACGGTGATGCTAATTTGCCATGGCAGGGCAAAATATAAAACCCCCTGAACATGAATGGTGCACACCCTGGGCAGCTGGGGCGGCATGGCTGCGCCGGCGGCAGTGGGAGCACAGCGGCAGCAGGAGCCTAGTGGTGGTAAGCGGGGAGCTCCCGCAGACACCGCTAGCATTGTCGGTGGTGGGGGAAGGGGCACCTGTGCACTGTGGAACCCCTGCACTGGGATGCAGTGTGCCTTGAGACAGGGGAGCAGGCAGCCCTGGGTTGGCTGCTCCCCTGTCTCTGCATGCCTCAGTGTGGTGGCTCTGCACTGAGTGACATGGAGCCCCCACACTAAGGCAGGCAGAGACAGAGGAGCAGCCAACCCAGGACTGCCTGCTCCCATGTCTCGAAGCATGCTGCCAGGGAGGCTGGCTGAGGCACAGGATGCCTTAGCGTGGAGCTCTGAAATGTGTGGAGACAGGGTACCAGGCAGCCCTGGCCTCCCTGCTCCCCCATCTCCCCGTGCCACTCTCCAGTTGGCTGGGGCACAGGGTGCTTCAGCATGAGGGCTGCCTGCCAGCTAATCCTGCGCTGAGGCACCCTGTGCCCCAGCCAGGCCTCCATGCAGTACAGGGAGCAGCGGCTCCCTCTGCAAACCACATGGGTGGACGTGCACTGCAGCACAAAGCGGCAGCACAAATTTGTGCTGCTGCTACTTGTGCTGCTGCGAATGCACACCCCTGCTCATGTGGATATGGTTCCTGAGTGCCAATCTGCTCTGCTTTCTGCTCCATGCCCTATTTGCTGTTGTGCCTGCCTGTTCTCACCCTGGCCTGCCGTTTACCACACACACAGGCTGCCAATGGCATATGTACCACAGATTGGACACCCTTGGTATAGACAGACAGCCAGGTGTCTAAAGATACAGTGGTAAAATTTGCTCGTGCCCAATCTGCACTAGCACTTCTCCATCGCCACCTCCCAGCTGGGAGGCAGTGGGAGGCAGTTGTACTTGTATTTACTCTTGCAGCCAATGTAAGCGCCGGTTTAAAAAAGGCCTGGTTTACAAAGGTATTTAGGTATTTAAGGATGCAAAAAGGTGCATAGTAGGTGCATCTGCATGAGACAGTAACATCGCAATAGACTAATTCTACTTTGCATTAGCGCGGCTGGCAAAAACCATGCTAATGCGCAGTAGAATTAATCTGCACATTAGCATCACATTAAAAACTGTCTATGCTAATGTGCTGTAGTGCTGGTTACAGTGCATGAAGTTAGTACCCATAATTACAAGTACTAAACTATGCACCGTAATTACGGCACATTAATGAATGTGTTGATGAAATCCTTAAACAGATTAGGCAAACTATAGGTGTCTTCGTAAAATAGTCTTCAGTAAAACTTTTCAGAAGAAGTGACTCTTGGAAGTGCGACATATTCCCATGGAAGGGAAAGACCAACAGGAAGTGATGTTTGTGGAGGCAGCTCTAGGATGTATTGTGTAGTCCATGGACCAGATTATACTCGGACTAAATGTTGTTTTCTTCCTTAGGCTCCAGACTTGATTTGTGAATAAACTCTGGCAGTATTAAATTCCTGCTTCGTTCATGTTTTCATATAATGAGAAATTACAAGGTGGGTGGGTGTGTGTGTGTGAAGAAATTTAAGAGAAAACCATTCAATTCATAATATGCAAGCCTGTCTTGCTTTTATTGATTTTGATAACATTTGCTATGGACTTCTCTGGCAGCATTATCAGATATTTAAACTATTAGATGCTTAAATAGCTTTCACCCTAATGTACATTTCCAGCTTGTATAGTTATGCCCTAAACAAAGTGGAGGAGAAGGGAAATTAGATTTTGTATCACTTACTTCAGAAGTGTTGGAGTTAATGTAGTGGGAAGTAGTAAGATCAGTCTTGGAGAGCGTTATTTTCTCTTAATCCAAAGAACCCGGCAAACTTGAACACTACCTAATATGTTATCACACTATGTTCACCCTATACGATTGAAGGGTGAGAGGTTAATTCATTCTCTGCTCTTATTCAACCCTTGGTCTCTCTTCTGTGACTGCCAACAAGGGTAGCAATTACTAGTGTTATCTCTTCAGTGTTCTGTGATGTGGATAATTGTTTATCATGAAACTGAACTGACACCCTTAACTAACATCGGACAGGCTGCAGCACAACCATCACATGGGCAGTAGTAAATTCAGGTTGATACCCAGTCTGACTTTATGCTCTGAAAAGTCCC